GCCGTTCGAGACCCTGACACGCAAACTTGCGATATCGGAGGGTGCCACACAAACTTGGGATTGAAACGAGGCTCCGGTTCCGGAATCAGGATGCGGAAGTCTTTAAGCCCAAGCACTCAATCCGAACGTCCTGGAGCCTCAGCCTGAAGAAAAGCATCAAGGCCCAGTTTCAGCATGGTCTCACGTGTCGCCACGTCATGGGGTCGCTGCTTGGTCGTTTTACACATCGATCGGTTTCTCCCAAGTTGAGATGTTTGCCACGAAGCGCGCTTGAAGCTAGGTGTCGCGACTTCACGCACCCTGGTGGGACAAAATCAAAGCTACTCCTTGTATGACTTCGTAGTCAGTACGTTTTTCTCGGAGGACTTGCGCCAAAGACCTACATTCACAGGGGACACGGAAAAGGAACTCATCAACCGGTAGCGCCGTGCGCAGAGCGAGACTCCTTTTTTCAGAGGCAGTCGGGGAACCTCATGCCCGACGGAAGACGATGAACTGTGACATGAAGAGAGGCAGATCGAGAAAAGGGAGTTGCCATGAGGCTGCAGAATCGAAGAGTTCGCGGGGGTGTCCGATCGTACAAGGCTCCCAACAGAGCCATGCAGCTTCTCAGAAGCTTCTGTAGAAGCGGTTGATGCGATTACCGAGGATATCAAGGACCCGGGACACTGGAAGGAAGGAAGAAAGGAAGAAAGGAAGAAAGGTAGGAAGGCAGGAAGCAGGAAGGAAGGAAAGAAAGAAAGAAAGAAGAGAGATACGCGCGGAGTCTCGGACCTTGAAGTGAGACATTTTTCAGTTGTTCTACTCGGCTTACCTGGTGCAGTAGCTACTTTCAAAGACTCAGGACTCACTTTTGGTCACTATTGCAACACTGGCAATCAGAGTATCCATCTACTACAGGGCCCAGGATCATCCCTGGTAATTTTATATGCAAGCCAGGGCGCTGACACTGCAGTCCATGCGCCTTGCAAATATCGTCTTTTATTTGTGGCAATCCTTAACACTAGTTCAGGGACATCTTTTGCAGAACTCCCACGAAGTTCTTAGCTTGTCCTTTAGAAGCCCACCACAATTCTTGAGCCGAGTTCGCATCGGCACGGCTGCATCAAGTACACCCTTCGATCTAGTGGTGTGGTTGGGCTGGCCGGGGCCTCCCGCCTCCTTGCTTTGTGAGTGGTTTTATAGTTTCTCCGGACAGGGCTCTGGCCTGAAGCATTTGGGTTCTGTGTGTTCGAGTGCTTCAGCTTCAGAGCTCAACGCCTGCAGCCAGCATTGTGTGTTGTCTCTGCAGACCTGCCTTGTACGCATGTACACGCAGACCTTCTCTGGAGTGCACTCGCTATAGCTGCTAGCCTTTCTTTGTCGGCGCTAATGCCAGCAATGAGCCCAGGACAGCAAGCACCATCTATCCGAAGGCCCAGCCAACCCCAACCCCCGAATCGCCGAGACGTGAAGCATGTTCTCACAGTTGTGAACGCTCACGATCACGATGGCAAACCTTCTCAAGCAAGACCTTTCGCGGTACAGGCCCGTAAACCCGCACCGTCCTCCGGGACAAAGCAAATGTATTTCTGACATGGGTTTAAACGGGAAGTGCCGCTCCTTGCTCTTTAGCATAGGCTGCCTAAGTTGAAGCCGCGAGCGTGAAGCCCGGAATCCCTGAACTTAGTTCACCATGCTCCACGCCCCCATACATACACGCACGCACCAGGACTTATGGATATTTACATGTATGTATACATGGACAAACAGGTCGTTCGTTAGTCCGATTGACAGAGAAAGGGTTGGTATGCAGACGAAGAGGATCCAGTTTTACAAGACAACTTTGCTTTGCCTAATTTGTGATGCCATCTCCACTCTTGTGGAAACTGTGGGCATCATTCGGGCGGTGTGTGACTGTCCAAGAACCTTCGAGCATCGTGCGGCCTACCTTGCATCGAGACATTGACGCAGTCCCTTTTGCCGTTCTCTTTGGCCGCTTGCACCTTCCCCGCCATGAGCATCTTAGGGTCTTAGGAGCCCAGGGATTCTGGACCCAGGCAGCAGGCCTCGTCGGACTGATCATGGCAGCTTTACGCTTCTACGAGCACCGGCCTGGGTTCCCGGAGTTGGCAATTTGGGACTGAAGCGAACCCTAGCAGGCCCTAGCACAACAGGCACAAGCTGTAGGAGCCCACAGCAGAGAGTTTTATTGTTTCCTGTGGCAGCTCAAGCCCCACGCCTTGTGCCTGTGACGACTAAGTACTACGAAGTATTAAACAGTCGACATGCAGAGTCCAGGGCAGCTAGGCCAGCAAAAGTCGAATGACCCTTAAGCCTCCGTTGAGCCTTCCTTTTCACCGAGGACAAAGATCCCGAAAGTACCCTCAATGCCGAAGTATGCCGAATCTATCTCCCCTTTACGCTTCATGTCGTTTTGACAGAATCAAACCAAACCCTGTGGAAGTTGGAGATCAATGAAGCCCCGGAAGTCACACCGATCTGATATCCCCGAGGCTCAAGACTTTGGCATGCAAGTCCGTAAACTTGATAGAAGACATAAGACATCATAAGAAATATTACCTCAAACAGGCCCCAAGCCTCAAACAACATTGCGATGTGTTTGTGCACCAATCGCCAGGGACCAGGTCCTGGCCGGTCAAGTGGACAAGTGGTTCATTGTTCTGCCGCCCGGTCTCCCGGACACTTCCCTGGTGAACAACAGGTTACGGCATGTACGCTCCACCTTTCTGGGCATACGACAATACTGCAGGTGCATTTTGTTCAGGGTGTAGGCGTGTTTGAGTCGGCTTTTTGGTGGAGTGTTGGTGCACCGGGTAGTCAACGCCCCTGTCAGTTCATGATTCTTTCAAGGAGTTGTACCTTTTTGCGTTACAAGGCTGGCAACTCGTCTGATCCATGGGGTGTGCAAGGTTGCATGTCCATATCTTGGAAGAGATTTGGTTAGTGGTCTCTAGCTGTACTGAAGATTCGGGTGCAGGAAGGAGGTGACCTCTGCTGATTTCAACTCCAAGGCATTCTTACTGTTTCCCGTTTCTTAGACACCAGGTGCCCGCTGTAACAAAAGCACCCCACACCGAAGTGCCATCTGGCCGGCCCCGAGATGTCTGAAAAGGTGAGGCCACCTGGAAAGCTCTCGAATTTTCTTGGCATTTCCCCGGGCTGTGAGATAGATGATGGGCGACCTCTACGACCTAAAACTGTACATTCTGATACGAGAGTGGTCATACCCCCAACGTGTATGATGGCTGACAAACCCTTGCACCCAAATCAAGCTGACTTGGCCTCAGTATCAGGTATGAGGCCTTAAGCCCGAAGCCTTGAGAGGAGATGACAGGCTAACCGCTAAACCGCTAAACCCAAACAAGACATTGCGGGTAGCTAGCCCAATCCCCGACAGTGAGTGAGTAGTATCGGTACCTCAAAAGAATACCTGCTTTCCGAACGCCTCGAAATTCAAACAGCATCTTAGACACAATGCCATGCTCAAAGATCCCAAGCGAGATAATGGATAGAAAACCTCAAACAGTTGAAGGAGTGACAAAGTCCATGCAGTCTTATTCGTTCTTGAAATCAGTCAGTATGTACAACGTATATAATATAATATAATATAATATAATATATTATAATATAATATAATAATATAATATAATATAATATAATATAATATAATATAATATAATATAATATAATATAATATAATATAATATAATATAATATAATATAATATATATACATACACACACACACATGTTCT